GGGTTTCACCATGTTGACCAGTATGGTCTCGATCTCTTGACCTCGTGATCCACCCGCCTCGGCCTCCCACAGTGCTGGGATTACAGGCTTGAGCCACCGCGCCCGGCCTGGTGAGGTGCTTCTTGTTGGTGGGGGTTTCTGCAGAGTCCCAAGGCGGAACAGTCCTGATGTGCAGGGCATCACACTGAGAGGGGCTGAGTGGCTAGCTCAGGCCTGTCTTCCTCCTCTTCTAAAGCCAGCAGTCCCGTTCCTATGTAACCCACTAGTCCATGACATGACCTGGTCACTTAAAGGCCCAACTTCCAGTATTGCCGCGTTGGGGATTAAGTTTCTATGTGAGTTTTATAGGGGAAAAACATTCAGTCCATTGCAGAGTTATAATAGTTTTAATACAGGATTCTAATTGTGTTTGTATTTATTATAATACTTTGGATAAAATCATGCTTTTCATTTTTTACTACTGACTTTTTTCTTACTCTCATAGGAAACGTGTCCCTGATCACCACCCTTGTTAAGCATTCCCATGTGCTGTTGATCACTGGACCAGTTTCTAGCAAAGTTGTGTTTGAAAGATAGCCTCTTAAAGAAGACAGTGCAATCTGTTTATCGGTGCCCATTATATCCTTAAATTTGGACATTTAGCTGACCTTCTCTTTTAACATGGGTCTAATTTATTTGCCACGTAATTTTCCATACAAATCACTTGATTTAAAAGTTCATTTCTCATACTGTGCATTAAAATAAAAATTTGAACAATTACTTGGTTCTTATGTCTTACTGATTTGTGTGTATTCTACTTAATGGAAATTAATGATTATTTTCAGTATAGCATTTTCCAGCTTAATGATTGACCATCTACATTTGATATGATAAACACACCATATATTAATCTTTTGGTTTTGTTCTTGAGCCATAAGAACACTCAATCATGGCCCGGCGCAGTGGGTCGTGCCTGTAACCCCAACATGTTGGGAAGCCAAGATGGGTGGGTCACTTGAGGTCAGGAATTTGAGACCAGCCTGGGCAATATGGAGAAACCCTGTCTCAGTATACTAACAATACAAAAATTATCTGGACATGGTGGTGGGTGCCTGGAATCACAGTTACTTGGGAGACTGAGACAGGAGAATTGCTTGAGCCTCAGGGGCAGAGCTTGCAGTGAGCCAAGATCGCACCACTGCATTCCAACCTGGGTGACAGTCAAGTTCTGTCTCAAAAAAAAAAAAAAAGTGTTAAGTTTTGCTTAATGGTATATAATTTGGTGTAGCGAAAATGATATAAACTGGTACTCATTTAATTTTGTGTAGCCTAAGTACTTTCTCTTGCATTGGAAAAAATTGCGATGCTTTCTGTTATGTATTTATTTTTATTTTATTTTTAAAATTTTTTTGAGATGGAGTCTCACTCTGTTACCCAGGCTGGAGTGCAGTGGCGCAATCTTGGCTCACTGCAACCTCCACCTCCTGTTTTCAAATGATTCTCTTGCCTTAGCCTTTCAAGTGGCTGGGATTACATGATAGATAGCCTGCCACCATGCCTGGCTAATTTTTGTATTTTTAGTAGAGATGGGGTTTTGCCATGTTGGCCTGGCTGGTCTCTACGTTACGTGATGTTTTTAAGCTTGAAAACATCATGTTTTAAACGTTGTTGCAAGATGATGTGCTCTAAGTACCTTTTTTTTTTCCAAAACAAGATCTCACTGTCACCCCGGCTAGAGTGCAGTGGTACGATCACAGCTCACTACAGCCTCTGCCTCCTGAGCTCAAGCGATTCGTCCACCTCAGCCTCCCAAGCAGCTGGAACTAAAGGTGCA